ATCAAAGTTACTTGCAGCTTAGTCAACATCCAGTTAATCCATTGAAGTCATCCAAATTTGGCGGCTAAAAATTGGAGTTAGTAAACCGAAAAACCTTGGATTGTGTGCCCAGACATGGATAACAATTGTCATCAACTTTAACTGTATAAAGACATATTCGGATAAGAATCTCAAAAGAAGAAAATTCAAAACAATAAATTTTATCTAATTTTCTTTAAATGTGTTTGGAGAAAATTTTCGTAGCATATATGATTTTTGTACCGAAAAGAAGTGTCGGATTTCTGTTTACCATATTGAATTGAAGAGTTGTTGAAACTTCCTTAAAATGTCAAAATCCACTCTGCACAAAATTCAACACATCAATGATGAAATCATAGGGCACACGAATCCAACATTTATGCCCCCATTAAAGACAGTAAAGGAAACATCCCAAATAAAAATATCTGCATAATTTAGCTCAGTACCATTAATCACACAGATTAATTACTAATTAATTAACATTTTAGACCAGCAAGACACGTATTCTTCCAGCTGTATTCATGTATTTGATGAAAAGTTAAAGTTAGATGCTGTTGTTTCACTAGATTTCTAGGCTATTCCGCAAAATCATTGCCCATTGATACGTGTATCCTCTATGTACTTTACTCTGTCGTCTAAAAGAAAATTTCAAACTGTAAAGGTTTTTCTTTAATATTAAATCCAAATAGGATATATACCAAACCAAAGGTGATCCTGAAAGTAATTGATTGGTTCAATGAATACTTTAATACAATGATGGAAGACCATAATATATGATCAACAGCTAAGTCCACAACAACCCTTACCAATTGCAGCCTCACCAACTTGATCAAGCCAGTGCCTACCAGTTCATACAAAGTCAAGAAACTATAATAGTAAAAAATGCAGAACAATATTGCATATACAGTTTCAATTATCTGTTTACCCCTTTTGCTTCTAACTCAAAAGCTCAAACTTTTATCCAGGATCATGATGTGGACTTCAACAAATTGGCTGCTACACGCTTTGTCAACTAATGAATTTGACCACAAAAACAATAATGTCAACTGGGGTATCACCAAAAGATTAGAACTGCACCAGAATTCCGTGTGCACAAATATCACAGAAACCAAACCAAAACGCAGTCAAAATTCAAAAACCACCTACCATCGTTGTATATTATTATTATTCATGGCAGCAGCAGACTGTTGATTGAACGAGTTTGGCACGTAGAAAACAAAACCTGGAATTGTTGATGGATAAATAAATCAATATGGCCACACATAACATATTTTTTTTAATGCTTCTATTATTTAATCGTATTTTTCGTGCCGTCATCAACTACAATGAAAAGTCTTCTTTCTTCTTCCTTCTTCCACCTTTCTCAACTTCATTTGCACCCTTTTAACTATCATCATCAATTGGGCACTGAGCATTGACAACAACAACCATGGCTCTTTCTCCTGAAACGTTCACAACCCGAAAACGACGACCAGCGTCGTCGTTTAACACATCCAAGCTGAGCGACCTTAACCTTCTCTTCTCTCTGCTTCAACTCACGGATCAGATATGTTCTTTAGACCTTAACAGCTCCGCCAACTTTCTCTTCAACCGCGCTTCATGTTCCGCCATCCGCAAAACGCAGCTCCTCGGTGTCGTTTTCGAAGACATGATTAGGTCTTCCACCGTGAATCTCGATTCCGTTGTGGTTCCCCACTCCCTCTTCCTCTGCCTCGAAGAAATGTACATCGTTCTGCACAAAATCAAAACTTTGATAGAAGATTTCTCTAACGGAAGTAGGTTCAATTTGCTCATGCAAATCGAAATCGTCGCCGACACCTTCCATAGGCTCACCGGGGAACTCTCCACGCTCCTTGACGTCTTCCCTATCCAGGAACTCACCCTAAACGACGACGTTCGGGACCTCGTTCTCCTTGTCAGGAAACAGTGCTCCGAATCCAGGCCTGTCATCGGGACGGAACAGATTAACCTTCGGCGCGAGGTTGTTTCCGTCCTCGACCGGATCAAGAACGAGATCGTTCCTGATAAGGCGCATCTTTCGTCGATTTTCGAGAAACTGGAGATTCGTGACGCTTCGAGCTGCAGAGCGGAGATTGAGAACTTGGAAGAGGACATTCAAAACCGTAGCGAGGAGCAATCGAAGGCGGATCTCGTAGCGTTGATCGGCCTTGTTCGTTTCGCGAAGTGTGTTCTCTTCGGCGCATCAACGCCATCGACGAGGAGCGCCAGTCTGCGACGGAGTCGGTCGTCGGAGTTCGCAGTACCGGCGGATTACCGGTGTCCGATTAGCCTAGAGCTCATGCAAGATCCTGTCGTGGTGGCGACGGGACAGACGTACGATCGTGTATCTATCAAACTGTGGATGGATTCAGGACACAACACGTGTCCGAAAACGGGTCAAACTCTAGCACACACAGACCTAATCCCCAATCGCGTGCTGAGGAACATGATAACGACGTGGTGTCGCGAGCAGAAAATCCCCTTCGAAGTGGAAACAGTTACAGGTAAACTCAACGGCGGAGTAACCAACAAGGCCGCGTTGGAAGCCACGCGTATGACGGTGTCGTTTTTGGTGAACAAGCTGAAGGGAAACGACAACGCCCCTTTGTCTGTTGAAGATACTAACGGCACAGTTTACGAGCTTCGGGTTTTGGCAAAAACAGATTCAGATAGCCGAGCCTGTATTGCCGAGGCGGGGGCGATTCCGCTTTTGGTTCGGTTTCTCGATGTGGGAATGGAGAACCCGAGCCTACAGGTTAACGCCGTGACCACGATACTGAATTTGTCTATTCTGGAGGCGAACAAGACTAGGATAATGGAGACTGACGGCGCGTTAAACGGGATTGCTGAGGTTTTGCTGTCCGGTGTCACGTGGGAAGCGAAGGCCAACGCGGCGGCCACGGTGTTTAGTTTATCTGGTGTGCCCGCGCACAGGAAGAAGTTGGGTAGGAAAACACGTGTCGTTAGCGGTTTGGTGAATTTGGCGCGGGGTGGGCCCGAGGGGGCGAGGCGTGACGCGCTGGCGGCGATACTCAACCTCGCGGCGGACAGGGAGACGGTGGCGCGTCTGGTGGAGGGGGGCGCGATATCAATGGCTGCGGAGGTCATGGCGGCGATGCCGGAGGAGGGGGTGACGATTCTGGAGGCGGTGGTCAAGAGGGGTGGGTTGGTGGCTGTGGCGGCGGCGTACGCCGGGATTAAGCGGCTGGGGGCGGTTCTCAGGGAGGGGTCGGAGAGGGCGAGGGAGAGTGCGGCGGCGACGCTGGTCACCATGTGTCGGAAGGGGGGGTCGGAGGTTGTGGGTGAGCTGGCGGCGGTTCCCGGAGTGGAGAGGATAATTTGGGAACTCATGGCCGTGGGGAGTGTGAGGGGGCGACGGAAGGCGGCTACGCTGTTGAAGATTTTGCGGCGGTGGGCGGCGGGGCTGGATGGCGGAGAGAGTGAAGGGATGTCAACAACCACCATGATCACTCCCTCAACCACTACATTAGCACCGTAACATTTGTATGTTATTCTGTTAATAACAATTTGTAAATATGTCTGAAAAGTGAAAGATCGTTGATTCATTGTTTTTGTTTTTACAATTGATTTTGCCATCCTGTAAAATGTAATCTATGGAGCAGGTTTGTATTTTATAAAGATTATTTTGGCATTCTTTCATTCCATTGAGTTTCCAACTTGAGTTGCTAAGGTTACTCCTTCTATTGTTATGTTCAGTCTACTAATTTTTAATCACTTGTTTGCAATTGCAATGGCAATGGAACTTTTAGTACGTGAGTTGTTCCTCACTGCTATCCATTCTATTCTGCACCTCTTTCTTATGTTCTCCTGTAGGTACTTTTCAAAACTTAATTTGTTTAAAGAGGATGCAAACAACATGAGCAGTAACAAGATGCTTGCTTGGTTAGTTTGGTTTTCCTTGTAGGTTTAATCCTTTTTGACGTCCCTATTTGTGTAGGAATGTCTCAGATAGGTCCTCGTTTTCTAAAGTGTATCAAAATGGTCCTTAATTTTGAAAATTGATATCAATTGAGTCCTTTCCGTTAAGTTGGCTGGACGACGTTAAAAAAATTGATGAGTGAGATGCTGAGATGACGAACGAGAACGCTCTTCGACCTCTTACCGCTGGACGACCGTTCGTTCCACACTGGACGATCGTTCGTTCGGTGGTCGCCGAGCGTTCGTTCGGTGGTGGACGAGCGTTCGTTCGGTGGTGGACGAGCGTTCGTTCGTCATCTCAGCATCCCACTCATCAATTTTTTTAACGCCGTCCAGCCAACTTAACGGAAAGGACTCAATTGATATCAATTTTCAAAATTAAGGACCATTTTGATACACTTTAGAAAACGAGGACCTATCTTAGACATTTTTACACAAATAGAGACGTAAAAAAGGATTAAACCTTTCTTTTATGTGCGACACATTCCTTGAGTAAACTTGGAATACAGTTGAAGATCATGTCTTAGGACAAAAGTCCGCTAAAACCAACAACTTACTACTACGCGAAGTCATCTAGTTGTTTTTCTTTTGAGCCATTCAACCCTCATACTCTTTCTCTCACATTCCACCTTTGTTCTGTAATCTTTTATTAAAAGATATCCTTTTGCATGAAGTAATTACTGTAATATATTTGTCATGATGTTTTGTTATGCAAACTACTTTTTATAATGTATGAGAGCATAATTAATTATGGAGAACAGTATCCCAAATTCAAGAAGAAGAGCAAAAGGTGATAGGAAATATAAATATGATGAAAAAAGAAACAAAGAGGGTGTGAGAAGAAAAAAGTGAACATAAACAGCATCTTACCTTTCTTTTCCTTGGGCCTGGGCTGACATTCATCTTCCCAAGACTGAAAAGCCCAGCCCATAGTACCCAATACCTGAAAATGGGCCTGAAGTTGTGATGTCCTGTTCTAGGGTGTGAGAAGGTCTAGCCTGAAATAACAATGAATATGGATAGTCTAACATAACATAACATGAGAATGGAAGAAAGGAAGGAACCCTACACATACAGTAATACAAAGAAGTAGCAAACAAGGAGTATAGAGTAGCATCAGGTACAATCTTTGTCTTTCCTAAAAATACAAACAAACTTAAATACATATTTTGAGCCATGAACGACACTTGCACTCTTTGGTCCCCTCTCTAATGAATCCATTTCACTCTGAAACATCATGCATAGATTCCGGTTTGAACACCAACACTCCACCTAGACCGTTAACATGGTGATTGGTATTCCACCATTCCATGCAATACGGAGGGGGACCAGTATGATCTATTGACCAAATTTATGACCACTTAACCCACCAAAATACCCTCAAAACCCCCATTACAGACTTCTGGGGAAGACACACAATGCACACACATCACACGTATTTATTTCTTACCGCTTTAGCAATCTCTCCAGTACAATCCATGTTCATCATGGTACCAATATTATTGAAAACTCTAGGGTTTTGAGTTGACATGTGTTTAAATTTAGATCTGTGTGTCCGTGTCAGCACCCATCAACATTGTTTTCCCCTTTGCAATGGGGGGAATTCATGGCCATTTAGCTTTGGTTGAAAAATGATTCGTTTTTCTTTACCCATGAGACATGGTACGTCAAGGGCTTCCCTAGAAAACGATGGATACACATGGTGCCAAATCAAAACCTAGACTATGTAGCAGGCCCATGTTCCGGTTTCCATAACCATGAAATAGAAACAATTATAAGAAACAACGCAGATCGAAATTGTACACTAATCCAATGTTACACAACCTCTTTAATCGATGGGCCACTTAGATTTTCTACATTTGGATGCACGTAATCCTGACCCACAACAACAAGCTTTTGGAAAGCTTTTTCCACTCCCAAAAGCTTCTTCCTTTCCAATTCTTTTCAGGCCCTCTACTCTCCCTTTGCACAACAAAATATTTATCCAAAATTGAACCATATATCACTACTTCCACCATCACACACGACATTACCAGTTCCACTTTCTAAACTACACACACTTCCTTTTTACAACTAAGTTTGTTTTCTTGCTTTAGCTTGCAATCACAACTTACACTGCTGCTTTTACTTTACCCTATTTGAAAGACCCACTTGGTCCTGGTCCTGGTTAGTTTCACTGTTGGCGTTGTTGGAACTGCGTGCTCCCGTGCATGTCTGAAACCCTTTTCGGCCACGTTCAATTTTAGTCCTGGTGTGAGGCTTTATATATGTCATGCAACCCACGTGGAGGAAGAAGATGTGCCTAAAGCCCAGAAGGCACGAAACTGTTGTCTACGTGGAAGGGTGCTCGCTAAGTGACCAAACCTTAAGAAATAAAAAAAAAACAGTGATCGCTCTGGTTGTTTTAACAGCACACATTATGTTTTGTTTAGGCCTTAATTGGTGTCACCGTTCCACAATGTCATTCACTTCTTATACCCCACTCTTTTGCCTTTATGCCAACTTTTTCCTCTCTTGTGGCCCCAGCCCCTTCACCTCCAATTCCAAATACCCTTCTTTCTTTCTCTCTCTCTATTTATTATCCTACAAACAAAGAGTGTCAAAACAGACACTGATATAGAGTTATCTAACGTCTCATCCCCACACTAGAGAGAACTAAAAAGCATTCAACACCTTCACAAACACAGAGTGAGAGAAGGATGGGGAATCACAGGTTTAGATTATCAGATATGATTCCGAATGCTTGGTTTTACAAGCTCAGGGATATGGGGAAGGGAAGAAAGCAAAACACCACACTCTCTGGGAAGAAGAAGCAAACTTCATCCATTTCAATCACTTCAACCACTTCAACCACACATTCATCAAAACCAAACCAACCCCTCCACCAATACAACAACAACAACAACCCCAGAAAGTCATACTACATCACAAGAGACCTCAAAACCTCACCCTCAAACACCCCGAAATTTTCCCCTCCCAGAAAATCAACCAAACAAAGAACCAAAAGAAGAGCTCCAAGAACCACAAAGTTTGTTTCCTCAGGTTGTAGCTGTCGCAGCACACTCGAATCCATGTGGACCAAATCAGATTCACCGCAGGAACACTCTTCCTCATCCCCATTTGACTCCTCACCCGAGTCAGAGTCCCCAGAATTCAGAACAGACCGTGTTCTCCCGTGTTCTTCATCGTTCGATGAAATGGTTTCCTTGTCAACCACCTCTTGCGCCTCTTGCAAGCTTAACACAAACAAAAACAACCCCCCCACCAACGACATCATCATCGACGTCGACAAAAACTCCATACCAAGAAAGGATAACAAGCTTGATGGCTACTACAGTTACAACAACAGCCGCAACAACGACTTTGATGACACCTTCTCAGAACTTGAGCTTCCTCCGATCATAACCAAGCCACCCAAATTGTTAAAGAAGAGAGAACTCAAACAAGGGTCGTTGAAGGTGAGAGTTGTGAAGGAAGAGTCTGCAACGAAGGAACAGAGGAACGGTGGTTCTGTGAGGCGGTTCTCTGTGAATTCTCCGGGGATGAGGTTGAGGGTCCACTCGCCCAAAATCGCCGGATGGAAGGGGCGGAAAAGTGTGTCGTCGACGGCGAGTTCCGGCTCCCGGAGAAGCCTCTCGGAGAGTTTTGCGGTTGTGAAGTCTTCTTTTGACCCACAGAAGGATTTCAGGGAGTCCATGGTGGAGATGATTGTGGAGAACAACATAAGGGCATCCAAGGACTTGGAGGATCTACTTGCTTGCTACCTTTCTCTCAATTCAGATCAGTATCACGACCTCATCATCAAAGTCTTCAAGCAAATTTGGTTTGATTTGACTCAACCAAGGTAATAATAAATGCTAAAGATGCTAAATTACAGTCTCTCGTCAAGGTTTCAAGCAGTCACAATCTCATCAAATGCAGACAAACACAGTCGAAATTGCAGTCACAATATATTTATGAGAGCCTAAAATCTTGACTCTGCAACCAAAATCTTAGCTACTGTTTGTTAAAACATTGGCTGCTGCAACTTGAATTGTATGCAAAATATGGTTTAAAATTATGGCTGATGCAGCTGTAATCTCGATAAGATGCTTAAGGTTTTGAAAATCGCAAGGTTAAGTTTGCACTTCTGGTTTTGGACTGCAATTTTGAAACCGTTGGAGTGGACAAAATTCTTAGTTAGTTTATAGACTTTTAATTTTTCAAATAAATATTTATCTCTGTAATTATGCATGTAATATATTATGGTAATCAAGTTGAACAGACTCCGGTGCTAAGCCAAATGAACATTTGATTATGGAAGTCTGAAAAGTTTACAAAGTCTCTCTGTCTTCAATTTCAAAGGGTCATTTTTTTTTTTATTTCTTGTGAAAGAATTGTTAATGATGAATGTAATGGGAAATTTCTCTGCTTTGGCTTGATCCGTGTGGGAAAACAAAAGGGGTTTGGCGAATTTTTGTCACAAAGGGAATTAATTCATTTATGATTTTATATGCTGCAGAGCTGCATAGAGACTGTGTGGTAGGGTCAATGGCAGGTAACCGTGAAGAATGGTGTCTACAAAGGCATTGTTTTATTGAGTGCATAGGAAGGCAAAAAAAAAAAAAAAAACTTGGGCATGCTGGTTTTGTTTCATTTTACTTAAACACCAAAATTTGCGTCAGAAATTCAGTACCCTCATGAACCTAAAGTAGTTTGAGAACAACACATAGAACTGCACAAAATTGTATAAATAGTTAAGAAGGGTCCCTCACCAGCATCATATGCAATAACTGACACCTTCTTCTATTGAACTTTGATATTTTTACCCAAAAGAAGTTGCCCTTTAAGTACAAGCTCTAGATTTCACGTCTTTGGTCACAAATTTTGAAGGTTTTGCTTTGTGCTTATCCCCAAGCCAGACCAGACCATGCAGCTTTTAAGATCTCGCATGCCCATTTTCCATCTCAACACAACACACACACACATACACACATTGAACAAGTATTGTGAAAAAACCTTCACGATTCAAAGGTGAAGGAAAAGGTTTCATAACCGTACACTATTTTAAATTGGAACAACCATTTTTTCTGACTACCAATATCAGAAATTCAAATTGATACACTGTGCCTTGCGTTAAACCCTATGAACTGTGGAATAAACAATAAAGGTCTCTAATTTCTTGAAGCATGTCTAAAGGTGGAACTTTGATTTTGAAAAGGTAAAGTTACTTCGATTATTTCAAAAGCGGGTGCAGACTTTAACCACAAGGGCATTGAGGGTCCTTCTGGTTTAGGACTCAAGACTCTGTCATGTGACAAAGCATTTCACATATAAATATTAAACCAAAGAGTTGAAAATGTTGACTTGAACTATCCCAATTGAATTTCCAAATTTGTGTGGACATAGTAGCATTATCCCACACTTAAAAGATAGTACCGATTCATAATGTTGTTGTCGCTTTCTAGCTTGACAAATTACTCAAAAGATGAGGAAAACCTCCTATTATTCAAACTAGTTAATCATGTTTCTCAGATTTTCCTGTAATTCTGGCAGCAAGGACCATCTTAACTTTAGGATCTCACCTTTGTCGTGGTAAAAGAATAAAAAACATTTCATTGTCAAATCCAAATTCTTTTGTACAAAATCAAGCGTCATAAAAAATCCACAAAAGTGTGTTCCTGCAGTAAATTCTTTGAGTGTTCACCTCAGAATTATTAAAACTATATGCAGTATAAATTGGTTAATGGTGATATTGAAGAACTATGAAAAAATCTTAACATCTGAGTGAAGTACGCAATGTTTTGTGGTACCATCCACTGAATTCTCCTTCAAACAATATCTATTTTATTTATGGCCAATAAATGCCCTCGTATTAAAAGACAAGTGGGAAGAGGAAAACAATGACAGCATATAAGACAGTATTTTATGTAATATATATATGGCAATTCATTCTATGTCTTTAACTTTTATATGGATATAATATATGGTATGACAGCTCAAATTAACTTTTAACTCTCTCTCTATACTATTTATATAAACGATTGAAGTTTTAATATGGTAGTTGTTTGTGGTGTGAAGTTTGGAGAGAATGACATATCCCTAACACAAGTGTGCAACACTGTTTATTGTAGGAATATCAAACACATGATATGCATTAATTTGTTGTTCCAGTTTGATCAATTAACTCATCAAAAGTTGTTTTATCAAGAGAGAAAACTTTTCGTACACATACACTTAAATCCTCTCATCAAAGGCTTTCGTACAGAATAAGATTCAAAATTTACATAAATAATTCAATTTTCACAATGATTTTATATCATGTCGGTTACACCTAGTTTATTATGGGAAATTGGAAATTAAAATAAATAAGTAAATATTATTTAGATTTTAAATGACTTCAGATAATATTATTAAGATCAAATGTATTTTAGATATTGTTTAATTTAAAACTTCACATTTTATTAAAGTTTTATTCTTAAAATATATTTCGAATGATTAAATAAGAAAGGTGTATTTTAACGATGGCTGTCTATTTTCTTAATTTCTTAAATACTTTTAAAAATAAAACTATAATAGAATTTCAAGTTCGAGAACATATAATACTTCACGTACGGAAATTTATATTAATAATACATGTAAAAATCAACTCATGTTAGGAACATGAAAATCAATAACCATATGAAACTTTTCATAAAATCGTGAAAGAAATACGAAAAATAATAAATTATATTATAAATATTTTACCAATATATATATATATATATATATATATATATATATGTGTGTGTGTGTTGGAGTCCAGAACAACTCTTTAAGGTCTTATAGGTTATTATAAAATGGTTTAAAAGCTAAGTCTAATTATTCTTCTTCATGTTATTATTAGTTCTCATTAGTCCGTTATACATGGAGTTTACTTGTAGAAAATGTAACTCAAGCATTAATGGAACAGTAAATATAAATCACCTGCCACTTTACCTCACACTTATATGTATAGATTTCAGTGTTAGCTCTTGATTAGTGACTGTCTAATTACGATCCATATGAAAGTTATCACACTTTACCTTAAATTGTTTAGCATTAAGGATAATTTCTACCTTGCATGACCATTCGATGTAGTTTCATGGCTGCTCAATTATGAGTAACTTGTTTAATTTTCTTTGTTAATGATTGACAGTTTAGTATGTTTCTAACCAGATAATCGTTAGGTACAATATATATATATATAAAATTAAAACAGAAAATAAAAAAAAAATTATAAGTATTGATGAAAAATAAATATTTTTCTTTTCATTTATTTTTACTTTTTTCTTTAACTCAAATAAGTTAGTATTTTCTTTTTCTTTCTTTTCTTTTCTACTCTCTTACATTTTTTCTTCAATCCAAACAAAACATTAATATCTTCAATGTCAAACACCTATATAAATTGACTCTTCTAATAAAAATGAAACATTAGAAATAATAATTTAGATAATCACTCTTTACATATAAATTAGTTCTTTTAAATAATATTTTCCTAATTTATTTATTTTAACCCTGTAAAAGCCCGATCATTGAATAGTTTTCTAGAATTTTTTTCATACCAATATTATTTCGAGAAAAATTGCCTCCAATAAGACATATGCATAATCTATTCAAAAGAATAAAATAAAGCCATAGTCATCTCAAAACTGAAATAGTTCCCCAGCATAGTGAGAAAACAAAAAGAAGAAGTGAGTTTATAATTTAAGTTGTACTTGCAAAGAAAAAAAAAAAGAGATATTTGTATTCAATGATAGAGATAAAAAGTGTAGTTTCTTTTGGTAAAAATAAATAAATATATGTATATACAAAAGTATTCCCCTATTAAATGTTGATAAGATTGAAAAGAAATTGGATTCCTTATATATGCTTTAGATTCGATTCCAATATTATTTTATGTATAAAGAGTGAGAGAAACATGTCGTGTATTCATTTGAAGCATTTGAAAAATCTAATGATATTTATAAATCAAAAGATTCTTTAACTATTTAAGGAAATTTTCTTTTTAAATTTCTATTTATTGAAAATGTTTTTTAAATATTATATTTTGCTCCAGTTATCTGCTTAGAGAAGAGTGAATTTTAAACCAAAGTGCTAGGTAAGTGCTGGGTCAACCAAAGACAGAATTTGTTTTAATATTCAACTAACCTAGCTAATTGTTCTTGACTTATTAAGAATAATACTTGTTCTATAATTAAAGAAACGTGTAGGAAAATAGAGCTATAAAAATATTAGGGAATGGGTTTCCACACCCTTAATTCCACCATTAGTATTTTTTATTTGTGTTTGTCCAATCATTTATACATATACCAACCCAAAGGAACAATAGGTCTAAATAATGACTTAACTACCTCAATTTTATTTTACCTACTATAAGCATACTTGAGGTTTTCTTTTTCATTTAACTATTTTTTTTAATTTTATATTTATTAAAAATAAGATAATTTCATAATATATAAATGAATGTAAATTTTATTTTATAAATTTATTTTATTAGTTAAGTTAGACTTAAAATTTATCTCTTAATTAACCAATCACTTGTTAATGTCTAATTTTATATTTAAATATATGTCTTAATGTGAGAAAATTATATAAATGAATGTAAATCTTATTTTATAAATAAATTTTAGAAAGATAAGTTAAATTTTAAAATTCACTTCTTTTAACAGTTTTATATTTTACATCATTACATTTTTCTTAAATTACTTAATTACTATTAAATGTGAACAATTCTCAATAGTTAGTATCATCACTATTATATAGATCAAATACATAGATTATCCATGAAAAATATATGCAATATTGCATATTTTCCGTTAGTCCAAATTTTATTTTGAATGGATTAGTGAAGATGAAATATAAATATTACTAAAAAATTATTAAAAAAAATGATAAATCAATATTTTTTTTACAAAAAATATAACACTACAGTTACAAAAGAAAACATAGAATATAATGAGGCTCCTAGTTAACTAATTCTTAATGTCGATTAATTATAAGTTGGTTGTACTGAATACCTAATTGCATAAAATGTACAATTTACTTCGTTTGTACAAAACTAGCCTCACCTAACAGGGATTATGTTATAAGAAGTATGATAAATTTAATAAACATTACTATTAAACTTTAAATTTAATTTAATCTAATTATATATTATAATTTAATTATATATTTATGTGATATAAAATTTTTATAAGAAAATGCTTGAGATGCAGACGGGGAAAATGTTTTAATAGTAAAAGTGTATGATTATGAGTTTCAAATGAAGAGAAATTATTAAAATTATTTTTTCAAATAAAACTAGTTCAAAGTTGAGTATTTATTAAAAAATTGTCTAATGAGTATTTTAAATTTTATATATTTTAATTAAGTTATTGTTATTTTATTTCTTTTCGTTAATTTGTTTTATGGGTTATTGTCTTATCTTGCTTGTTTTCATTTGTTAAAAAATTGTGAGATTTGTGATTAATATAAAATTATGGTTAAAATCATTGGTCCTGAAATTTTAATTCAGTTTTCAGATTTTAAGTAGTTCTAATTAGATCCTTTTAAAAAAAAAAGTGAAATAAACATATTTAAATCGTTAAATGATGTAACATTTGTAAAATCTCATGTATTGAATTGATTCTTGATTATATATGCTTCTTTTATTAATTGTTAAGGTAAT